TTAAATACACTATAAGTATTTATATTTATAGGTGTTTAGAAGTAAATAAATTAAAAGAATAATTGAGGAAGATACAAATAATATATATTTAATAAAATGTTTAAAGTCAAAACTAGCAAGTTAAGTTATAAGTTTTAATTTTTTGCAAACTCAAAAACAGGTTTCCCATCAGTATGATGTCAGTATGTGCTTTCTTGATGGAAGTCTTACCCCATGAATTGAATCATTAGTAAATCCAACTAGATAAATCTCTGTATCAGATCTAGTCAATGGCTTTAAAGATACCATAATCTGCAAATAACTATAAATATTGTCAAAATAGGCAACTGGTAAAAATTAGGTTATAATGAATATTAAAGTTTGGCTAATTTTCTTGGACCTTGTTAGATTAGATTGAGAGTTATATTTAGCCTGTTATGTGAGGTTTTCCCTATTAAATATTTTTAAAATATTTAGTGTTGACATTTAACAGTTAAGTATTCCTGATTAATGATTAAATACAAACTTGTGAGAATATAATTTTTAAATAGATTTATTATTTCTGATGCTAGGTTATGAAGAATAGATTATTTTTGGATTTTTTTAATTAAGTTATATATAAATATAAAGACAATTTATTTGATGAGGATAAAAACATGTAATTAATATTTTCAATAGAATTTATTCAACTTTTAATATTAAACGCATTATTAAGTAAAAAAAAAAATCAAATCAAAAAGCAAAAAGATAACAAGAAAAGCTTAGTTTTTTTTAATTATCTTAAAAAATTTAAATAAAATTAATAAAAGTGAAATTTGTTAAATCATTTAAAGCATTAAAAGACATTTTTTTCGAGTATAATCCAAACCTTACTAAATCAAAAAGAAATAAAACAAAATTCTTAAAAAAAGAATGTTGCCAAATGAACCCTTAAAAAACAACAAAGAAATGAAGATAGTTATTTCTTCAGTATCAGATATGATCAAGTAGTGAAAATCACTATATAGCAATTATCAAAAAACTGGGAAACAGAGTCAAAAACTTACTGATTTAAAAAATGTGAAATTAAAAAAAAAAATTTAATATATAAGTAAATTTTTTGAATATATAATTTGTTTTAAATGAAAACAAATTGAGTTAGTAAGATGATTTCCTCAAATATAAAAAAACCTAGAAAAAAGAATAATTAAGTAATGGAAATATTTTTATCATGCTGATATACAAATGATACATCATCAAAATGATACATCATCAAAATGATACATCATCAAAATGATACATCATCAAAATGATACATCATCAAAATAATACATCATCAAAATGATACATCATCAAAATGATACATCATCAAAATGTAAACACAATGAATTTATTTCTGAAATAGTCACATCTTCACATCTCCAATTTCACATCTTCACATCTTTAATTTCACATCTTCACATCTCCAATTTCACATCTTCACATCTCCAATTTCACATCTTCACATCTCCAATTTCACATCTTCACATCTCCAATTTCACATCTTCACATCTCCAATTTCACATCTTCACATCTCCAATTTCACATCTTCACATCTTCACATCTTTCACATCTTCATCTAGAGATTTTTTTAGTTTTTTACTTTTTATTAATGAAACATATTTTAATGAAATGTTATTAAATAATGTTCTTGATTACAATATTTTTCACAAAAACCGAGTAGGCAAATAAGCAAGGAGAGTATGCATATATGTCAAAAAAAAAGAAATCTAATTAATGAAACTAAATGATAAAAAAAATGATAAAATGCCTAACAATGACAGCTTAGAGCAAATTTGGACATATTTGTATATTGGTAATAAAAAGATACTATGTGGATGCATTTACAGGCTAGGTACAAGTGATTATTAATCTAATCAGAAAATAATTTATTCAAACAAAACAAAGTTACAATCTATTGTTTAAAAATTAGTATTCAGGTCTATTGATATGCATAGATTTTAACAACTGTTCAATTAGCTAGAGTAAGCTAGCTAAGCTAGAGTAAGCTAGAGCAAATAAAAAATTGATGAACTTTAGAAATAATTTAAACTGGAAGAGTTAAAAAAAACTTTAACTTTGTACAATAAAGGTAATTATAATGGCTTTTCAAATATTCCTAATAGCTATGGTTGGCATTTATAATTCATACAACAAATTTGGCAAGATTTATAATATTGACAAATAAAAAGGTCTTAAATTTTTGTTGCAATAATTACAAAGGGAAATGTTATAACTAAAGTGCCTAGGATCCAATTAAATTTATATATTTTTCCGCATATCTTACTAAAATAAATTGTTTACTCATAATAAAAAGTTAAAATACTGATTACAAAATTTTCATGAGCCATTGTAGCCCTTATGAGCCCGTCTCTTCTCTCGACACCACACACCAATATTGAAACCCTGGTGACCTCTTTCACAATGGATTCAATAGATTGACCATGAAAAGGGAAGTTTGCTACAATCATTAGGTTATTAATAAACTGTATACTATCATCTTTCATCAAACAACAAGTAAGAACCGGTTCACTGATCTCCTCTGTTTCCCAATTGATTAAATCTATTAGATTATATGATTTAGTGTTTATCTCCGGTATTCTTCTATTTCTGCATTTTCTGTCTCCAACATCCTTATTTTTTCTTACATCAATTATCTTCTGCACTGCAAACCATATTTCACCTTCATCTGAACTACAGAATATTGTCTGAAGAATACATTCACTGTGTGCATTCCAGGCAGAGGAGCAGGCGTGTGGTAATACAATATCCTTCACAAACTTGTTCTGTTTCTTTTCCAAGGCTAGTTCTTTAAGGATGACGTGGACCTTGAATCCAGCTGTTTAGTCTAAAATTAATTACTTTTCTTTAGCATAATCACAATTGTATTACAAATATTAAAGTAAATTATAGTATTTAAGTGAATTATTGTATTATATCTTTATTTACATAACTAAGTTCATTACCTTAAGCTCAAACCACATTATAGAATAAACACCCATGTTGAACTATGCTAACAATTTCAAGTTTTTTAGACCTTTGTTTTCTAAACCATGCTTGGAACACCAAATTCAAAGCAGTCTATTTGTAAGATTCAACAAAATCAAGCTGAGAGAAGTATGTCAAAATAGGAAGATTTATTGCTATGTTAATAAGTATTCCAATGTTTCCTGAGAATCTATTTTCAGATAAAGATTTTCCATCTAAAGCTAACATTAAATGCCTAAGTGGCAAATTGTTGGTATGCAGCGCACCAATAATCCAGATAAGTTTGAATCCTAGTTTCTTCTCTAAAAATTGAATAACTCCACCCTTCCAACCTATAATATTTTTTTATTTCCAGTAAAAAAAATAATTACATAAAATTTTAAACTATCATTTAAAAAAAATAAAAATAAAAACCTGTGTTAAGGTTGGTTGAATCTCCTCCAATTGCAACTATTTGGTTTTCAATGCCATGCGCTATTATCGAATTATACAGTTGTTCAGCAATATATTCAGCAGGTGCTCAAGCTTCTCTCTCCTCTGAATTATTTAGTATGTTTTTATATGAATTATTTAGTGTGTAATTATATATGTGGAATAAATATTTTCCACCAGGTTCAGAACAGACACTACAATGATCTTCTTTGATCTCCCTAGGGTAAGATTTACCATCATTGCCATATACAACTGTTTTTGTAAGGTCTTTTCTACCATCAAACATTATACATTGTATGCCCTTTTCCTTAATTTCATCGATGTTTTTATTTTTTGATCACTCAATTTTTTAATGATCTAGAGCTAGGCTTTTATCAGGTATTTAATCTTTCAAAAAACCTGCATCTTTGGCTGCTTTTAATGTTGCAGAGCGTATTGATGCAGTTGCTCTGTTACTTGTACCAAATCTTAATGCCGACAATATGAATTACATTTAAGGCATTTAGCTGAGAAACTTTTTGTTTTTCTGGTAAATAAACATTGTCATTATAATCATTCTCAGCATGGTCTGACTCCACATCATTTTTAGATAATACATCAGAATACTGTACAGTCTCGATTCTAACTCTTTTTGATTTGTTCTGCTTTCTTTAATGATGTTTTTTTTGTCTAGATACTTCTTTTCTATTAACTGAATTAACGTTTTTACATCTAACTTACATCACAAGTTTTTTGTTAACTGAAACTTATTTTTATACAATAAATTATTTCTTCCTTTTATTAATTAATAAAATGTTACTAGTGCTCCCACTTTGATGTACATAAACAAGATTTGCAGAAATACGTCATCAATACATTTTACAAAATTAATTATTACCCATTTTTATGGTAAAATACCTCTCTTAGTTGTTATAATTTAGGATCATATTTTGACATTTTTATTGATAAAATAGGTGTAGTTTAAGACATTTATTTGATTTAAAGTGGTTTGAAAATGATAATAGTAAAAAAATCGACAAAATACTGGGAAAATTATATATTTATGATAAAAATTTTCAAGCTGAAAATTACCTGACTAAACATTAAATGCAAATAAAAAGAGAATTGGTCCTCAGTATCATAGACATAACAAAAATGTCAAAGACATAAGAAAAATGCCCAGCCAAACCTAAATTCAAAAATTTTTCAAAAGTGACCTACCCTAATATATATATATATATATATATATATATATATATATATATATATATATATATATATATATATATATACACACACACACACACACACACATATACATATACATATATATATATAAAATAATAACAAATGTAAATACAAATATAATAATATTACTAATCAGAGCTGTGTGTTAGTAGGGCTTGATCCACACTTTTCTAAACATAGGTCCTCCATTTGGTTGTAAAGTTAGAGAAAAATTTTTTCTAACAAAAAAACATGGTTTGTTATAGTTTTTATTCAACTTAAGAATAAAACCGCACTCCTTTAGATCAATAAAACTTATTCTATGGCCATTTTTAGGAAAGGTTGGCAATATTTTACAATAGTAATTCCAAAGGCTAAAGAAACACTCAGCTCTACCCCGGATTTGAAAAGTAAAAGATAAACTTTTTTAGTGCATTGGCAGGAAGCAGGACTAGCAAAACAAACGAGTACAAAGATGTGGTAAAACGTGTACAAAGATGTGGTGAAACAAGGAGACTCACCAGTATAGAAGCATGCATACATTTCTAGTTTTACCAGAAAAAGGACCTAGATCTGTACTACAGATAGATAAACTAAACTTTCATTGGAAATAAACTAGTTGAATTTGATTCTCAGCATACATTACACAATTTTAAGAGTTTATATAAAGTTCAAAGTATTAGATTTTTATTGGTTTTCAGGTCAATCATTTTAAATATTCAACCAACTCAGGCATTCCACCATTCTCTGACATAAAACTTCTCTATTTTCTGGGTCATAGGTGTGGGAGGAAACAGTAGCGCCTAAATATTTTGGTAGTGCCACCCAGGTTTGATAATAATGTTGCAAAAAAAAAATTAGAAGAAGCACCCCAGTGGTGTTCAAAGTAAATTTTATCCTCCAAATACAGTTTTAGCCCTAATGTATTTATGATATATCTTTTTTACTCCTTTTATTTCTCAATGTTTTGCAATTTTATAAAAGCTAATAAAATTTTGCATAATTTTTTTGTATACTATGTTTTTTGCAAATTTAGGTCGTTCAATTCGTCATAAAAATGATTATGCTAGTATAATTTTGATAGACCAGCGTTACTCACGAAGTTCAGTGATAAACAAATTGCCATCTTGGATAAATTCTCAGCTGCAAACTCATCAAAGATTCGGTCCTGCGCTTGCTTCAATTAGCAAGGTAGCTTTGTAATAATATTAATTTTATAATTTAAATTTTTTTTTAGCTATTTACACCAATAGCTAAAAAAAAAGTGTTATACTTAATATATTAATATATAAATTAATATATTAAGTATAACACCAATATATTAATAAATCTCAACGGTCAATATAATAAAAAAAGTTCACTTAAAATATAAATAATCTAATGGACTTGTCTAAGTTAAAAGAAGATTGTGAAAACAATGTTTTGTCTTTAAAATGGCGTGAAACTTGGTTTAGTAAAAGGTTATTTATGTAGTTTCGATAGTTCTTCTGAGTATTTTAAATTATGAATACTTTTTTGTTTGAAGTCAAAATACTTTTAAAAACTTTATTACAACGATTATTTTAAATTATGCCTTATTGTTATTGTTACACCTTATTGTTGCTTGATTTTATTAATTTAAGTTAATCGATCTTTATAACATTAAATACTTATCTATTAATTTACTTCTTTTTGATGTTGTGACCAAACTGGCACAGTAAACTCAAGATGTGATCGAATTATTGTATGTTCTTTTTTTTTCTCTTATAATTTGGTTGTTTTAATTCAACATCAACAAAAAAAAACTTTGGTTTAATAAATTGTGAGTAAAATAATGAGATCAAAATAGTTTAGTTTATCTAATACAATTTAAAAATAAATTATTTTATCTAGTATAATTTTATTTTTGCATTTATTTTAACTAATAAAATAAAATTGTGAGCAAGGTCACTCGCAATTGCTTAATTGTCACACTTACAGACTTACTCATATAGTCACTTTTTTTTATCACAGAAAAAAAAGAATGTCACATTTATAACATTTATAATTTATTTCAAATAATTTTTTTTATCACAGAAAAAAAAAGATTTTTTTATTATTATCTGTATAATAAGATTAAAAATAATTTGAAATTTAAATTTGGCAAATATTTCTAACTCTTTTTAAATGTCACATGTAACTCTTTTTAAATGTCATATGTGGCGCATGATTTTGTTGTGTAGATATCACCAAGACTTTTTTTATCAATAACAACACCAAACATCATCATATACATCAGCTTTGCATAACTCATTTTTGCCTCCAAACTACCTCCAAATTATCTAATTTTGCCTCTATAATTTTCAATCAACATATTTATTTTATGTCTCTCAAATGTACTAATGTTGTGCTCTTATACATTAACAAGTTTTCTGAATAACATTAGTCGAAATTACAAACCCACATAATAAATTTATAATATAATTCCAAACTATTAAGAATATGTAAACATACATGGATACATACATACATACATACATACATACATACATACATACATACATACATACATACATACATACATACATACATACATACATACATACATACATACATACATACATACATACATACATACATACATACCTACAACATACATACATACATACATACATACATACATACATACATACATACATACATACATACATACATACATACATACATACATACATACATACATACATACATACATACATACATACATATATACATACATATATACATACATATATGCATACATATATACATACATAAGAGTTGTTACGACTATTAAATAATTCGACTGTCAACTAAATTGACTATTATATTTTCTAAAATCGACTAAAATTGACTTATACATTTTAAAAATCGACGAAGTCGACTAAAAGTCGATTTAGTCAAAAAGTAGGAATAATAAATTTTTTTGAAAAAAATTGTCATAAAAACAATTAAGTAATTTATTTTCGCTTTTTATTTTTTAAGATCATATCATTTAAATGTTAATGGAGCAAAATAATATGAGGGAACGGTACTTCCGATACTTCTTAAAATAGTCATTCACTATGTACACTGCCACCAGCAAATAATAAATTTTTTTAAGCAAGTTCTGCTAGGATGTTTTGCGTTTGCTAACCAACACTTGTAAGGGTTTGCTGTCCAATTTAAGTGAAAAGTTTCATGTAAAAACTAATATCATTTGCTATTGGAATTATTATTTCTCACATCTTCATGTGTGCATTTTTTCTTAGAAATTAGTTTGATCGTTTTCATTTACATTTCTTTTTCTTACGAAGTAGAGTTGATTCATCGCCGGTGCTTCTAGTCACCGGTGATGGTTCATCGGTGTCAAGCAGCCTTTCACTTAGAAAGAATTATCGCATCTTTTTATCGCAACCGTATAATTGACATTTCAATAAAAGTTAAACGATGTTTTAAGTTCAGATATCAACTTCTGAAATTACCTTTAAAATGTAAGTACCTGAGCTGGTTATTTTTGTAATCTTTTTGAGTTGTTTGAAGAGTACGTTTATACAAAACTATAGTTAAATCAAATTGATGTAACAATCAACAAATAATGTGTGTTGTTACACAGCCAAGTCATAAATTAACAGAAACGCCCACAGCGTAAAGTTTTTTGCCACAACATATTGTAGGTATTCTGGCAAAAAAAGCTAACTAAATCCTTGTCAAGAGAAATCAGTCATTTAAATTTTTTTCTAATTTGAAACTTTTATAACCTTATTAATTGTATTTGGTGATGACATTTGAATACATCATAATGTTTAGTGTTTATTTAAGAAAATATTTATTGCTTTTATTTTCTTTAATTTAAATGTTTTTAGCCTAAACAAAACACCCGTTTTATAAGTTAACGTTAAATGTAATTTTATAACCAGAGAAAAGCCTTTAAAAATAGATTTAAACATCTTTAAAGATGTTTCATTCGACTTTTTTTTCCAGTTTGTAGAGTGTTGTAAACTTTACAATACTGCATCATTAAGTCAAAACTCCCAATTTTTGGCTTAACGTTTTTTTCCAGTATACCCACGATATACACTTCATCAAACCAGGTCGAAACCTTTAAAATGGAAAGTGTCACCGAATATTCGGCAGCCGTTGTGTTGTTATCGACTTCGACTAAATCGGCTTTTAGCCGATTTAGTCGAAGTCGATTAGTGTTGTTATCGTAGTCGATTAGTGTTGTTATCGACTTCGACTAAATCGGCTTTTAGGCGATTTAGTCGAAGTCGATAACAACACTAACATACATACATACATACATACATACATACATACATACATACATACATACATACATACATACATACATACATACATACATACATACATACATACATAGGGTAGATTAGGATAATATGAGCACCTTAAGCGAAAATTAAAATATTTTCAAAAATAGTTATGCTGGATCAAATTTTTTGCGAATAAGTAACTTTTAGGGATTCCTACTCATGATCCACCAAGATATTTGGGCACCCGAAATTTTTTCTTAAAATCACAGAGGTTTTAAAAAAATCGCAAAAGTGCTCATATTACCCAAACCACTTGGTAATATGAGCACTTTATATTAGCTTAAAAAAGTAACATTAAATCAAAAAATTCCCACCTGACAATTAGAACTAATTTTTGGAATATAATGTCTCGTTATTAACAAAACATATCATTAAAAGATCAAATTTTAAGTCACTTTTTGTTGAAACAATACTACTATGTTTTCCGCAAAACAAAACAAAAAATTAGTTCGTTTTTTTTTTCAATTTTATTAACTCAAACCTTTGAACGATAAAAGTTCAAACTTTTTGAATTTAAATTACGGAAAAAAATTTAGTATTGTTAAAATAATAAAATTTTTTACTATGTTTTGCTTTTATTCAAAAAGCAATTAAACCACTGCTATTTTAGGACTTTAAACTAGATAATTTCAATGAAAAACACTGGGTAATTTGAGCATGCTCATACTACACAAAAATAGCATTTTTAAATATAGTCAAAATAAAATGTTTCTTTGCATTGTTTTTCAAACAAAAATGGGTTGGATTTTTAGCTAACATATTTTTCTTTATGAAAAAATTAATTTCATTATTTTAGCACCAAAATTTCGCGCCACAGGTTTATTTATGCGTGATGATATTATTTTAACAACGCAAAAAATTTAATAGCGTTTTAGTTAGACGATAGCCGTTAATGACTACATATAAATTTACGCTAATTGCACTGATTACTGTTATCACCTCATAAAGACGATTCGAAAAATACAAAGCAACTTGAACTTCAGTGCTTACATCTAGGAAATCTTTAAGCATGCTCATATTACCAAGGTGCTCATATTACCCTAATCAACCCTAAATACATATGTACATACAAACCTAAATTTAAGTTTAAGTTAAAACTAAACTCTTTTTTTTTTTGTTTCAGTTTTTTGCTGGTAAAAGAATTGCTCTATAATGGTGCGGTTTTGTAGTATTTCTTATTAAAGAACTGTATTTTGTATTTTACTATGTTTCTTATAGAAAGCGGCAAACTAGGTCATTTTTATTTAAAGTTTCATCACGCTCAATATAAGGGCTCTAAATTTAAACTATAAAATTGTGATATTATGGTAAATTTGCTTTATATCATGCAGTCTAGTCTTTTATTTTAGTTTCATATCCGCTAGAATCAATAATTATATAATAATATGAATACAATTCTTTATATAGCGTTATTATTATTCAGTTATCACCTTAGTGTGTTGGCAATGTTGTCAATGAGTATATTTAGCTATTTATAGCTCTTGACATCTACTTATTGTAATATTGATATTGTATCGGCCGCCACCCTACAGCCAATACACATGCACAAAAGTGCGTGCGGATATATAGGCACTTCAACATCTGAGAGCGGGATATCGAAACTTGACAAAGCACGGCTAAAGAAAAAAGATATTTATGCCAACAAATTAGTTTGTGGTGTATGTTTTAACATGCGTGTACGCGAACACTCGTACAACACTTTAACACATAGCTGACCTATTTAATATTAAAAAAGGAGATTTAAAAATGGAGTAATACAATTTTTCTATAATTTATCCTAATTTAACAAAGTCAATTGTGAAAAGAACTAAAAATATATACAAACAGTACAAAAAATATACTAGAAGTCTACTGATGAATCATCAGCAGAAGCTAGTGATGGAGAAAATATGATTTCTAATGTTTTTTGTCAAACTTAAATTGATTTTGTTTTCCTTGAGTTAATTTAATTTGTTCATTGATTTCAGATAATACAAATTATTCGAATTTGATGAAATCCACAGTAAGCAGAGCTGTTTAATTTGTGTATATAAAATAATATATTCTCTAAACATGCATGTTTCTGCATACAGTAATTTATGCGCGGCATATAAATATTTCTTAATTTTGTCTGTAACTGAAGTTAACTGCGAAAAAACATTTAGCAAACCTAAGATTATAAAATCCTGTCTTTGTCCCAGTTTATGTCAAGAAAACTTAGAATAACTAAGTAACTTAGAAGTACTAATTGTTATGTCAGTAGAAAGGCAACTTTTAGAAGACATTGACATATCTGAAGTTAAAATTATAAAATGTTATCTTAAGTTTAATCCTAAATGTTATCCTAAGTTTAATGTATAAATGTTATCCTAAACTGATATTATATATTGTTCTTTAATAATAAATTGTTAACTTTTTCTTTCACCTTTATACATTAATTTTTTTTCCTCATATTAAAGTAATAATTTAAATAATTTTACTATTCGTCTATACAAGGAATTATCATTTATTTTATATTACAAACAATAGCTTAGGCATAAACATAGTTAATAATAAATAATAATTAGGTGGGGTTACAATATTTAAATTAGAAAAAAATAGGAAACTTGCATGTTTTTTTTAGTAGGAGGGAGAAGTGCAACAGCGCAGCTATATTTACACCTATGATAATAAAGATATTATTATTATACTTTTTGGCCGGTATATTTCATCTCCACCTGGACTGATATACTCCCAGTTCGCCCCCTGAGAAGTACTTATTGTATATTCAATCTTGAATTTATTTTTAATGCAACTTAGAAGTACACATAGTATCAAAAAAATTACAAGAATACAACATTCATTCAAATAACAATTTCATAATCTTCTTTAACAAAGAATTCAATAAGGTTTATAGGCCTAATGTACAATGTTTATTTAAACATATTTGCAGTATTTTTCTAAAATTTGTGAGAATTATATATATTTTTTTATGTTTGCAATTTAAAGTAATTTAAGTTAAAAGTGAGGTAAAAATCTCAGTATTCTTTTATATGAAAAACTACTAAAAATTCTCTTTTGTTAAAATAAAATAAATATCAATAATGTAAGTATAATGTAAATATTTATCCAATCATCTACTTTAAAAGAAAAGTTTAACAACATGGCTAATAAAAAAAGTTAAAAATTGAAGAGAAAGAGAAGATTTATTTAAGATCTTTATTTAAGAAGATTATTTAAGATCTTATAAGACTTATAATTATAAAAAATTTAAAAACGTGGTTTTGCCCGTATGAAACGTGTTGATTTCAATCGGGCAAAACCATCCAGCATTGTTTTATGATCAATGTATTTCGTTAAGCCTCTTTCAATAAACAGTAAGTCTAAGCTTGATAATTGTTTCTCATTCATATTGGACCAAAAATATGACTTCAGTAGCTTTAATCAACTGAAAGAACGTTCTGCAGACTAGAGAAAGGCTATGTGTATTATATACAATGTTGAGATATTTAAGTAAATGTTACAGCGATCATTAGTTGACAGCAAGTTTAGGACACTTGATAAGTTTTAAAATATCGACATCCTTAAAATACTTTGGATTTTTTGAACTTCATGAAACGTTCAATACGATTTCTTATTGCGTTGACCACAGTAGCGTAACGAAGAGCCCGCAGCCGCAAGGAGGACCTAGAGTTATTAGGGGCCCAAGCCGACCAACTTTTAAGAAATAAAATTTTAAAGAAGTATTCGCTGTAAAAAATATTATGCATGTATATAAATATATCAACATTAGCAATTTGTAATATCATTATGTTGCTAAGAAATGCAAGCTCTTTTTCAGGTTATTTTATTTTGCTTTAAGAACAATCTTGAGTAGCACTTTAAATAGTGTGCAACTTTTTATACCTAAAACCTGAAAAATTGTAATTGATACTTATAAACAATAACTTAGATGCGACATATCAGTCAGGCATGTTTAAAACAGATTTAAGGGATCATATCCCAACTTACATAAACACACGGCCTACTATAATTACACGGCCGGGTTGGTAGCTGTATTTAAATATATAAAAATCAAATAACTTTTTTTTAAAGTTTTTCATGAAACTTTGTTTGATTAAAAAAAAAACTTATTCCATTCTACACTGACATTCGGGGAGAATGAAATATGCAAATATAAGTGTAATTAAAACAACATTTATTAAAAAAACAAAAAGCAATCAATAATATCAATAATCTAAAAAAAATCAATAATAAATCAAATAAAATAAACTTTTTTATTCTTGTGATGATGTTGAGTCGTTTAGAGGTACTAGTGGTTGAGTTGAGTTTTTAGTTGTGCAGCACTTTTTGATACAATAAAACTCAGCGTCTTTTACGTATCGCTTAGGTATGGATGTTTGACATAGTCAAACCTTACAATTCGAATTTTCACACTGGTACCATTCCATATTTTGACTTGCTGAAGCTTTGCCTTAAACTTTTCTGCGCATTTTTACACTTAAGTTGGTTTGCAACTATTATTTTCGTTGAACTTGTTGCTTAATTTGTTTGCTGTTCGCCATTAGAGCTAAAGTTACGCTGTTTTTCAGCTTGCTTTGCTTCTTTTTTGCTCTCAGTATCTTTCAACCTTTCAAGTATTTTAGGTTTATTGAGGCACTCCCCTTCGAATCTTGGCACATCTAAATTTTTCTTTTTTTAGTGTCAACGTGTTGGATACAAAACATTTGTTGCAAAGCTGCTGCAAGTGATTGGGCTGATTGCGGTTGTATTTCAACCTCTTTTTGAATTTCTGTTTGAATAGCCGGAATTACTACAACATTGGAGCTGATGCTATGTGACATATGCTGATGCTAAATGATAGTGTAGTTAGAAGTGGCTGAGGTAGTGTAGTTCCTGGTGCTAGTTTTGGTAATTGTACTATCATAGGTTCTGGTTGTTGAAATGATGAAGGCTCAAGTTCAGATGATGGTGTTTCAAATGTATTAGTAATTTGTAATTTTGAATCAGTTTTATTGATGTTCTTTTGCAGGTGACAAAAACATTCTTTTGATAAGTTACTGAACTTTGTCTCTGCATAAAACTGTTGAAATAATTTGTGCCAAACTCGGTGAAATAATTTGCGCCAAGCTACTAGATGTCGGTGTATTTTTGACAAAAAACACCGACATTAGTAGCTGCAGAATATGTGACAAGTGAGCTGGTAACAAAATTAAAAAGATATTGTTTTTGATGCAAATAAGTACCACCCAATAAGTGACATGTTTCACATGTCTATATGAATACCTAACTATAATTAGGTAATGTCTATATGAATACCTAACTATAACCTAAATATAATTTTACATTCACAAAAGATGTAATCTTTTGTGAATGTAAAATTAGATAAATATAATTAGATAACTAAAATTAGATTGAACTAATTACCTGGAATTTTTTTAAAGACGGGAACATACACGTAAGTAAGCCATTGCACAAATTGCTTATCTTCTATCCGTCCGGATGGAGATATAGAGTATATGGCATTATCTAGACCACTTAAACACCAATCTCTGTACAGACGTTGTTTTGATTTAAAAATAATCTATGGAGCAAGACGATTACCAGCAGCATTAAAACAATTTCCAACTGTTTAATGGATTTTTTCATTGTTGCCAACCAATTTTAATCGTCGTTTTGTACCACACCGACAAACAATATTTTGCTTACCTTGTTCACCAGAAAAGCCAATTTCATCGAAATTCCACAAATGACAAGAAGTGTTTTCGTTGATACCTGCTACGTTGAATTCTCTTTGCAGTGTGTTGAAATATTTTGCTACTATTTCTTGCGTGCAAGAAGCGGCTCTGAGTGATGAAATATTGCCTATGGCTCTGATGCTCAACCTATGACTCTACTGTTTTATAGAAAGGTTAAACCAATCACTTCCTGGTGTACCATTAGTAAACAAATGAGATTGACCTTGGTGTTGCAAATAGTCGGTAATTAGTGTGATGACGTTACTGTAAGTTCTACCAAAGCCCCAATTAAATAACTTGATAGCAATCTACCAAAACTGATTCAAGTTGTTTTGACAATCTCGTGCTTAACCACTGTCAATTGTTTCACTTATGGTGTGGACATGCCTGTGAAGAGTTGCTACTGGTATGCTGAATGATTTAGCAGATTTGTCAAAATTCACCGCTCAGCCTACTGCTACTGCAGATACTGTTTCGAACAGCAATCACATGTCGATGAAGGTCGTTTATTAAAGGTTTATGCTACTTCAACTACAATTTAAGAAGTGAGCTATTGCTTCACTTAATATTAGCGGATTTCATTCAACCCCACAATTCTCCTTTTCCGTTTTTTACTTATAACTTTTTTTCCTATATAGCAAATTTAATTTTGATAAAAGATTCTTGATCAGCGTAAAAAGCTATCAAGAAAATCTTTTAAGTTCAATGACAACAAATTTAACTTCTGAGAGTTTTAAGTTCATTTTTCAATATAATAAAAAAAATCTTATTATGCATACGAAAATTTATAACAAATTTTTTCTTCATCAAAAATAAAGTTTGATATCATTTTACGCAGAAAAGTATTCTCTACAACGCAATTTAAAAATATTTGCAAAAAGATTATCCAATAAGTTATTGGATCCTCTTAATTAGTTATTGAATAACTAATTAAAAGGATTGTCATAACTATTTCATTCTACCCGCTATTTCATTTTACCCTGTTTTACTCTATAATGTATAACAATTTTTTTTCTCTTTAAAAAGATTTCTTATTCAAAAGGAATTTAAACGTTAATAAAATCACTATTAATTTTTTAATATAAATTCAGCTAAAATAGCAATAATAAATAGATAGATAATGAAAATGATTTCTTTAAGTTATTTTAGATTTGAAAACAACTCGTCTTTCTTTTTTCCGCGAGTGATAATGATTGGCTTATTGTTAAAGGATATGTTAATAATTATATTATTAATAAATGTTAAAACATTATTAAAATGTTGATCACACATGAAAATTTTTTCACCTCCACAATTTAGGAGCTTTCTGGCAACATGTCTAATAATTTTAGCATTTTAAAATAAATTTTTTTGAGCTAAATCTGGTCTAGCAAAGGGAATGACTGAATAAGCGCGAATTTCAAAAGTGCGAATTGCGTAATTGCGAACTAACATTAGTGCAAAGCAATTTTAAAAACTCGCACAAGTGTGAACTGGTATAAGTGCAAACTGGCATAAATCCGAATTAGTTGCAAAAACTGGCATATGTGCAAATTGGCATATTTATGCAAACTTACACCAGTTGGCATAAATGCGCCAAAAGAATTCGCCAACATTGGCATAAGTGCGAACTGGCATAAATGCGAATTAGTTGCAAAAACTGGCATATGTGCAAATTGGCATAAGTGCGCCGAATAAATTTGCAAATATTGCCATAAATGCAAATTAGTAATAGTGCAAAATGCCATTTTGCACTTATGGTAATATTTTCAATTTTATTCGGCGCACTAATTCGCACTTATGCCAGTTCGCACATGCGAGTTTTTGTAACTGCTTTGCACTTATGACAGTTCGCACTTATGCTAATTCGTACTTATGCCAATGTTTGCAAATTCCTTTGGCGCACTTATGCCAATTAGTACATATGCCAGTTCGCACTTATGCCAGTTTCTGCAATGTTTCGCACTCATGATAGTTCACACTTTGAAATTTGCGCTTATTTAGCTTCCCGTAGCAAAGCTAGGTGATACATATAATGCAAGACATTTTCCAGGTAACTTTCCAGATGCTCCCCTCTAGAGAGCAAACTTGTATATTCAATGCAAATAGTGACTTTCTCAAAATTTATTTAAAACTTCACATTCAGCACAAATAAAATTATTTTGGAATTTTTTCATAATAAATCCAGAAATATAGCTTGTCACTTCCTTGCTGTCATTGTTTAAACCAACCTCTTGGAAATCATTTTTGAAATAAATTTCACATAAATTATTTTGACTAGACTCTGGTTGAAGATTTAAATCCCAGTAAATTATTTATTCTTTCATTAATGACTTTATTTGAAGTAACTTCTCTGAGTGCTCAACTTCACGCAAACTATCAAAAAAACAATTATTTAAATACTTTTTGATATTAACTACCATTAAAAAGTTGTTAGAATTAAGCAGCAGATGATTCTCATGAAAAATAACTTTTAATAGATGTAGTTTCATGAAAGATATTAAAAGCGAGAGGTTTGAATATCTTTCATGACTTTGCTTATTTCCTGGATGTAAAGTTTGAAATGCAAGTTAATGTGCCACAAGGGAAAAATAAAGATAAGGGAATAAAAGCGCTTTAAACTAAGAAGATTAGATATTTTTGAAGAGATTTTTCTCTTCAAAAATATCTAATCTTCTTAGTTTAATTAGAAGTAATTTAATAGCTTAATACCTATAGCTGCTAATTTTTTTCGAAATGTAACGTTGCAATAATGAAAAACGAAAAACTTCAGATGAATATAACTTTTTACATTTTGACAACCATTGCGATGCAATTTTACATATTATTTTCAATTATTTCAACAAAAAATAATAACATAAAATTTTGTTATTAAATTACATTATAGATTATCAATGAACATTTTGAAATAATACAACGATTTTTTTTATATCCATTTGTAAAAAACACTCTGACTGTACTTTTGAAAATTAAAAAATCAGTTTACACTCATTTTTAAAACAAGATTTTAATTTGTTAGTACATGCTACAAAATCGTTGTAAGTAGTAGCTTTCATGTAGCAATCTTTAGCTTCGTCGAAACACTAAAAAAATATATTTAAGTTCTTTAAATGTAATGCTTAAAAATTTCAAATAAATTGTGTTAGTATAATGTAAATAAATTTTTGTTGGCGTTGGTGTTAGTATAATGTACATAAATTCTTTTTTAAATTTTTTTTTTGACTCAGCAATAGATGACTAAAAACTTAGTTTACAAAGTTTACCGTAATTAGTGAATTAAACATGCCCTTATAATCTTAATATTCATTTATACATCTATTTGTGAGTTGTAAAATATTCAAGTCCCGCACTTTTATTAAAGTAAAAATTTCTAGGATAATACTGTTAACCTTTCGGTGATCATTCCCTAGTATCTTTACTTATATCTTATTCTTACTGGAACCTTTTATTTTTGCATTACTTAATTTTTAAACAAAAAAACTTTTTAGTAATTAACGCACCATATGAGTAAAATTAAAATACTAAAATATCTAAATATATTTAAAAACTTACCGGTTTAGAAGGACAAAGATTGTATAAACAAGCTCCAAGATCAAAAAAACAAGCAGCTTTATCTGTCCAGTTTTTAGTACTTGACGTAATACATCCGTAAAACGTGTTCAAACACTATGAATATATAAGTATTGATCAGATATTTATTTTGGTGACGACCCTTTAAAACAACCTTGATATGTTTTATTTAAAAACCTATCTAATTTAAACAGTTTTACCTCTTCAAGAGATTTACAGATTGGGTTTAAGCACTTTTTTTAAAATTTCAGTTAGATTTGCCTAGTATCAAAAAGAGAGTTTTTATGCTTATACCAACATTATTTGAATGCTTTATCTGTTCGATTTTGCTTAAATATTTTCTGTCAAGTGGGCATAACTTGTGGAAAAGTTCAAATGTTTTTTAGCAAACTTTTGTGCATTAAACTCAAAATATACTAGGCGTTAAGTGAAAAAAGAGGGTTGAAACAAGTGGAGCTATGTATTTGTAATTTTGTATTTTTTTTGGTTAAATTTTGAATAGTGATGTTTTCTAAGAAACCACTAGAACTGTTAAAAAAATGGTGCAGCTTCTTTATTTTAAACGCAATTAGATAATACTGTTATTAGTGATTTAAAAATACCTGGAGAATGGAAACTAACATAAACATATAATTAATAGCCACCTGGTTTTTTGTATTACTAGAAAATGTTAATATATCATAACTCTAATATATATATATATATATATATATATATATATATATATATATATATATATATATTATATATATATATATATATATATATATATATATATATATATATATATATATATCAGAGTTATTAAAAAAATTCAAATGTGTATTTATAATTAAAGTTTAATATAAAAATCATGTAGCGTTCAAAAGTTATAGCCATTTAAAGTTTAGAGGTTGTAAATTTAAACTGGGCATAATTTCTATTAAAAAATATATTAAAAAATCCTGGATCCGCCCCTGTATTGATAGTAATTTTTTTTATTCTAATTTTGCTCTTGAAAAGATTTTTCTGATTTTTTTTTTTGTTGTGACTGGTTTTTACAAAACAGCAAAGCTCATCATCTCTAAATAGGCTGTTAAAGTTTAAACTATATACGTTTAACATTAGGCAAAGAATATATTCTTTGCCAATGGTATAGAACATAAAATGACATCATGGTATGTATAACTGAACTTCATCAAACTTATAATTGTAAAATCAAATTTCGCATCTTCTAATTTTTTTTAATAACATATTACTTTTTGTAAAATTTTTTTCTTTATCTCTATAAATCTCAAATCCGTCCTTTTATGAAATACTGTTGCCATATCTCGGGCGGATTTTTCAATGATGCCTATTTTCTTTTAGACAAGGTGAAAAACGCATTGTAAACATAGTTGGATCTTTTCTTGCAGCCAACCTCCAACCATTATCACATTCTCGTAATGTTGCTTCTCTTTCTCTTTTCTACAAATACTATAATGTGCACTGCTCTAAAGAGTTAGCAACTCTTGTACAATCTACTAAAATTCATTCTCATATTACTTGTCATTTGATTAAGTCTCACCCTTTTTCTGTGACTGTTCCTAAGTGCTCCAAAAGCTCTTATTCATCTAGTTTTTATCCTCGAACATCAGTTGCTTTGAATTTGCTACCTTTATCTTGCTTTCCTGATTCGTATAATTTGCAATCTTTTAATTTGTCTGTCAATCGTTATCTTGTTCTATAAACTTCATCTTTTCTCTTTCAGTAACTTCCAAACCCTGTTTAAACCTTCGTTGTTTATTTTATACTAATCTTTGAAATTCTTTTAGAATATTTAAATTAATTCCAAGTTAATAATGATTATGGAACTAAAAAAAAAATGTCCTATAAAATCTTACAAATAACGGAAAAGTTAAGCGCCCCTATTTGGTTTGCGCCCCTAGGCAGTTGTTTGGATTTTCCTTATGGCAAATGCGTCTATGAGTATGCTCAATGCTATCAGTTTTTTGTAAATCGGTAGAAAGTTATATAGTTTATATAACTTTAATAGTTTTTCGAAGAGCTTGTTAATTTTAGATAAAACTTTCATTACCCTTTGCATCATATCGCACGACAATTTTTTATTCTAATGGCTTATTTCTAATGTATTATTTTGAGAAAATCGTGCATTTTTACTATATTGGTGTTGCGATTATTCCACCTATATTAATCAGTGCATAAGATTTTGAAACTTTTATGTTTTAAAATGACACAAAATAATATAAATATTTTGGGAAAAATTCCATTTAAATATGAAATATTAAAAAGCTTTGAGAAAAATCAAAGTTAAAACAATAAAAATGTTTTTGGGATTCTGTTTGGATCTGTTTCGTTTTATAATAGTTTGTTAGAGATAAAAATATAAAGGGTGCTTAAGACTATTTAAAGCTATGTGATGACTGGATATTTAATTTAAGCTTATAAGCAGCAGTTGGAAAAAGGTGTTAAATTCTTTTGATGTAAGTTATGAATGCAGGGGCAATACCACGGAAAGGAGGGGGTGTCGTTGCACAAAATGCATTTTTAACAAACCATTGCAGTAGCATTAAATGTTTTTCATTTGATATCAAAAGTTGTGAACTAAAATAAACTTTCATAATGGGATAACTTAAAACTAAAATACATTCATGTCTTTTATATGTAAGTAATAGTTTCACATAAAAGCATTGAAAAGATATATTAATCGTAAGTGCTTTCCTCAACAAAGAATATTTCTGGGTGTTAATGTGCCACCCCAACCCCTATCGCTTTTTTTAAAAAAATTAAAACTATTGATGTCAGCTTGATTCTTGTCAAAAATTGCCAAAAAATATCAAAACCTCCCTTCTCCTATTTTGTTAACATATTTAATGGATAGCCCCTTAGTGGTTACATTGGAAAAGATATTGTCAGTGAACGTAGCAGAGTGGTCAGTAACTCTAGTTGATGACTAATTGGTCAAACATAATAAGAAGTAAGTTTAAAAAATTCAAAGATTGCAATGTCAGAATTTTTCTGTATATATATATATATATATATATATATATATATATTATATATATATATATATATATATATATATATATATATATATATATATATATATATATATATATATATATATATATATATATATATATATATATATAGGCCCGTCTTTAGGTCATCCTGGCCCCGCAGCGAAATAACGGTTTTGACCTTTCCAGACTCCCCCCCCCTCCCATCCCCGAATAAAATAGTATTCGTTTTTTAAGTAGATTTTTTTTAATATGCCTATATATATTGCTAATTAAAACTACTGCATTGTCCATAAACGAACATGTAAATGCTAGCGCTGAAAGGCATTTTTTTTTTTGTCTACTATTAGAATCGTAGCAATTTCCTTTTTTTCAATACCTTTTTGAAGTTTATAAAAGAATTTTCTTCGTTACAATTTGTAACAACAGCAGAGAAAAACATCTTTAGAACAACATTGACGTTTGAGACTGGATTCAAGTTTCTTTGATTAAATAACCAGAAATAAATTAAGATGATTTGTTTTTATGGATTCACTAATATTAGTTTCAACTGAATTGGGAAAAAAGTTCTTGTAATGCAGTTTTTTATTCAGAATATAAATGTCCGCATCGTTTAGATAAATGTAAAAACGTACTTTAGCGCACGCTGTGATCACAACAGAATCCATATCCAAAAGACAGACCGAGAATCCAAAACAAGAAAAGCATAAGCTTGTCTTCACCTTTCAATCTCAGTTGATTCATGGTGACTTGAAATTTCAACCTCAAAAACCATTTTTCCTTTCCTAATAAAGTCTGATACCTCAATAGACGTCAATTCGTCTACAATGCTTTTGATGTGAAAAGTTGAGGCCACATAATGAGTTCTGCTTTGGGATAACTAACAGGACTAAAATAACTGCATAACTCATTGCTTGGGATGCTATGCTCTATCTAAAAATGAGTCAAGTTCTCTTTAAACTTAAATCATGCCCAAAGTAAACCAAAATATTAAACAAAAAAAAACCATCCCCACAACCTAACTGTTTTAAAATATCTTTCCCAAATATTCGTGGTCTGCGAAGTAACCTTCCATCAGTTGAATCTTACCACTTGCAAAATTCACCAGATTTGCTTGTTTTTTGTGAGACTAATTTAAATTTGGCTTTCCTTTCTTCAATTTTCAGTATTGATGGGTACTATCCTTTCATTTGCAACGACTCCAATAGTCACATGCTTAGCAAATAAGGTTTTAATACCTTGAATATACTTTTATGTGCTTCCACTTAGTATTTCTTCACTCACCTTTCTCTTTGTTCTTTATTGTTCTCCTTTTTCTAAAGACTGTTTTAAATATAAACTCTGATTTTTTCTTGTTTTTCATTATAATGTTTAAGATACAAATACATATATATAAGAGAAAAATTACAAGTGAAGATATCGTAAAAATAAATAAATAAAAAATAAATTAATAAAGAACGCGAATATTCAAAAAAGACTATCAGGTCTTGTCACAGAGAACCGCTGATACAAGTCGTTTTACTAATAAACTAAATTGTAAGGATTAAAAAATCCTTTTACAACTAAAAAGTATAAATAAACAAAAACTATACAAGTGTTTGATTTTATAAATAAAAAGAAAACGGACACTTGCAGAAGACCATCAAGTCTTTATCTAGAACCGCTCGTAAATTTAAAAATCTTATAAAAATCAAATGCATACATACATGGTCGAGTGTAAGATAAGGCAGAATTATTTGCAAATAACTTTTTTTCCTAATTCAACTCTTGGATCTTATGACCATTCTCTTCCTTCCATTCTAATGAAACAGGTTAACCCATTTTTAAACATTTAAATTACTCAAAGCTTCCATTGCTAAAGTCATATCTTAATTAAACTCTTCTACTACTTGTGGTCCAGATATTGTTGTCATAGTCTTACAAAATTATTCTCCAGAACTCTCTTAAATTCTCTCTAAACTATTTAATAAGTGCTTACCTGAGTCTTATTTTACTGCCTGCTGGATGGCATCTGTGGTTTCAATTTTCAAAAACTCCGGTGAAGATTCTGACTGCTCCAATTATTGTTCAACCTGTCTTCTTTCTGTTAGATGCAAGGTCTTTGAGTTTTTGATGAACAAATTTCTCACATCCAGTCTAGAGTCAAATAACTTAATGTCAGGCAATAAATACAGTTTTCGATCCTCTTGCTTTAAGGCTGACTTGCTAACTGCTGTGACTGAAAGATTTTGTGCATTAGCTGGAGGCGGAGAGACTAGAGCTATTGCTCTTGACATATCTAAGGCTTTCGACAAATTTTGGCATGCTGGTCTTCTTCATAAGCTTGTTTAATATGGAAAAGTTTTTAAGATTGTCAAATCATTTCTTTCTAACCGCTTTTTGAAAGTCAACCTCGAAGGCCAGCACTCTTCTTCATTTTATACAAATTCTTCATTCTCTTTTCTTCAAATATTAACATGGTTGCTACTCAAAGTAGATATCATATCTAGTTCCATCAACTAAAACTCATTAGCACCAGACTCGTCATTCAGCAAAGTCACATTCTTTTACTGTATCAGATCCTGCATGCTCTATTTACTTTTGCATGCTCTAAAAACTTTGCATGCTTTAAAAACTTTTATTCATAGAATTTTTATCTTCAAGGGTTGAAGATAAAAACTCGATGAATTCCCTATTCCCATTTTCATGTTTTCCCAACTCTCTCGCATCTTCATGTTTTCCCAACTTAGACAACTTACTTTTTGAAGTCATCTGTCAACCGTTTTCTTGCTCTTTAATTTATTTTTTTTCTTTCTAGTAACTCCCAACTTAATAGTTGGGAGTCAAGGCTTGCAGCCTTGTTGAGAGTGAATCAGGTTTTTAAAAAAACTATGTAATAACCTTATTGATTTGTTTAAGAAGTTATCCCATTATTAATTAAAGAATTATTTAACATAGATTCATGTATTTTTACATTTTATTTTTCATGTTATTCATATTCATTCACGTTCATTCATTTATATTCATTCACATTCATTCATTCATATTCTTTCATTCATATTCATTTACATTAATTCATTCATATTCATTTACATTCATTCATATTCATTCACATTCATTCATACTCATTTCGGTTCATTCATATTCATTCACATTTATTCATTCATATTCATTCATTCATATTCATTTACATTAGTTCATTCATATTCATTTACATTTGTTCATATTCATTCACATTCATTCATACTTATTCAGGTTCATTCATATTCATTCACATTCATTCATTCATATTCATTCATACTCATTTTTATATTATTTATGCATTTTCACATATTTTATTAGCCAATCCCAAAAAAAAATTATTGTATTTGAAAACATATAAAAAAATATATTCATAATACTCTATTTTACTAATTTGAAAATTGTTTTGACTATAATAACATCTTTCAAAACTCCAAAAATCAGTTGGGGTTTCATGTAAAATAAAATAAAAATTTAAAAAACAAACAAACGGAAAGCATTTTTATACATAGCTATAGTAAACAGTAACTTTAAAATTTATCGTGCATACGGAATTAGTTAATGTATTTAAACTATTTAATAGTATAGCTTTATAAAAAAATATAAAGATCAGCCTTTATAATACACTTATGAACTGGCTTTAAAAAAACAAAATTTTTAACAATTAATACTTTTACTTTGTACAAAAAATAATAATTAAAAACTGGTGACATTCACGGACTTCACAAAATAAACTTACTCCAAACGATGTATCATTCTTATGCTGTTTGTTGAAGTAATTTGAAGTAAGTTGCTGAAATTTGAAGTAAAAAACCCATTGAAGCTGCTAAGAAATATTCACCTGATGAAGCTTTAGCATTAATTATTGATGGTGATAGATTAGAATAACCTACCAGCTTTTTAGAAATATTGCTGAAAAAAAGACTGTCACATATATCCTAAGAACATTCGTGTAGATAACTAATCAGTACACATACCGCTAAAAGATCTTCTAAAACACATTCTTAATAGGCTTTGTTATATACAAGCTTATCACTATGCTTAAAGAATTAACTAAACTGGCGTTTAGATGCAAGACTAGATATGATGGATTTAATGGTGCTACAGGACATAGCGTTTACAAACAGGTAAGTTAAAATAAAAACGGTGAGCATGGTCTAACGAATGAAGAGCGCTTGTTTATTATTTCCATATTACCTTTAGAACTCAGTGGACTTTATAATGATAAAAACGTTTTAATATTATTCATCTAGATTGTGCATCCAATAGATTAAAATAAAAAAGTACATTTTTATATTTTAGAGATGATAAATAATCTGCAGACTTGTTTAAAACATCGTGGACATATAATAATTTCGTAATAGAGTTTTAAATCTAGTAATAAACCTTCATTTTCTTATGTAAATGCGCTTTTTTATTTTTAAAGTTTATTCCATCAATTTTTTTAAAAGTTTATTCCATTAGATGAGTGGTAATAAGGCTGAGTTGCTATATTTATTCACCGAAATACTTTTGACACCAGTATAAACATAGAAGAGATGGTTATTCAGTTCTACGATTTTAAAAAGTTAAAGGATTTGAAAATAAAAAATTATGAATTCGCGTTTATAAAGTTTTATTTAATTTGTTAAATAATATCTAGTATTAGCAACTATGTAACTATGTAACTAAAACTTATATTAATAGTAAATTTATCTTAATACAAAGTAACTGTTTGGAAATTTAAAGGGTTTTAGTAAATAAAAAAGATCAAAATAATTTTGCCCACCATATATCTTATATCCGGCCAACTGTGCCGCTTACAATAAAATAAGGCTACGTTTACATTTTTAAATTTGTTTGAAATTACATTTGAACAAAGGGAAATTCAAACAAAATTTATTTTGCTTAGATTAAGTAACAGTTAGAAAAACTGAAAATCGAAGAAAAAACTCATTCAAAAATGTAATTCCATGTAAATTTACTTTAACAACGTTAACAAGACGTGCAGTGTTCCAGTGATATAGACATGCAATTTTACATGACAGCATGACATATTACACAAAAAAAGCGTGTTTGCATGGTTTTGTTGTGTAATACGATGAATTAAATAATATAATATTGCTTGATTTGTGGAAAACCAATTCTTTTAGTTAATAAACTTCTATTTTTTTTAAGGAGTTTTTAGAAGCTTTTAATTTTTTTTTTTAATTTGTCAAATGATGAAAGATTGCTTAAGACTGGTGTACATTAAAATTTTTTTTTACAACTAGTACAAAATGATAACATAAAAACTGAAGCATAAAGTTACATAAATCAAGTACTTAATAGTATAAAGTATATCTAACTTTGTACTTAACATAGTGCAAAATTAAATAACATTTTTATATAAGTTACAAGTTAATAGTTAAAAAAAATCTATTCATTTTTGTATGAATAGGAGGGGTTTTACATAAAATCTTCAATTTTTTATAAAATTGCACTTTATTGTGAGATATTCTTTAGTATAGCTATGAAGATAAAAAATCTCGGATTCCATAAAACTAAAGCACCCTTTAAAACAAAAATAAAAAACTTAGGCAATCTACTATAAAAGCATACTTTACTTTAAAGCCCTATATATTCTGCTATAATTTGCTACCCAATTTATCATAAATGGCCTATATTAATTCTCTATAATTGATATGTAATAAGATATATAACTGATAGTACTAGATATATTAGATATCAAATACAAATACTGTACTAAATGATAAAGAAGTATTTTAAATAAATATGCAACAATGTTTTATAAACTTTAAATAGCTTATTGTTTTTAATATTTCTATTCTTAGAAATATCAATTATATAATTGTACAGATGAATATATAGAAAAATGTTTATTTTAAGTTAATACTTGCAAAGTTACAAATAACATGGTTTTCTATTTAATCTTTTATTGTAGCAATAAAAATCCACTCTTGCTACAGCACTCTTTAAATTTTGCTTTCTTGTATTGTAGTATGACCTTATACATAAGTATCGCTATTAAAATATTTTTTTAAAACTCGAAAAACTTACCACAACCTCAGGAGATGGTGCTTTTTTTGCTGGAACTGAAAGTTAATCAGAAATATTATTTTACGTTAAATTTTTTGACTAAATTTTTTTTAAAAGAAAATTAAATGTAAAAACAAACTTAAACCTGCTGCAGCTGCAACAGTGCCAATAATTGCAAGTATGATTACAAGCTTCATTATTAAAATGCAACTCTTTAAGTGCTTTTATCAGCTTTAATGTATGTTTTGAGTAAAATATTATAAAAAACTTTTTATGCTGCTATTTATTTACCATTCTCCTAAGTTATTTAATCGGAACCAATAGCTTGTTTTAAAATAAATCGCACTGGTATGAAAGTGGTTTTTCACATCAAAATTGAAATTTGATATTTTGAACTCGGAAACTTCTTAAAAAAGATATTTGATCGTTTTATTACGAAATTGAGTTTACGTATATATATATATATATATATATATATATATATATATATATATATATATATATATATATATATATATATATACATATATATGTATATACATATATATGTATATATATATATATATATATATATATATATATATATATATATATATATATATATATATATATATATATATATATATATATACATATATATATATATATATACATATATATGTAAATATATACATATATGTATATATTTATATGTATATATATATATATATATTTATAATATATATATATATATATATTTATTATTATTATTATTATATATATATATTTATATAAATGTATATAGCGGGATGTTTTTTAATGTCTCACCATTTTGCCTATTCTAATATGATGGATTTTGGATTTTGTCTAAATTAAATAAGAGAATATAATCCTTACATAAAACTTAAAAAAATGTTTCACTTTCATTGATAGACTTTAATACCGGGGGTTCACAATTCCTAAATCATTGCGATGTTCTTTCCCAAACCACTTTACGACATAATCCTTAGGATCAAAGTGAATAATTGCTAACGAAATAAACATTAAACTTGACACAGTTTTTATTTATAAAGAATTTCGCAAGTAAGATAAGATTATATTCGTAGTAAAAAAAGACGTACGCATTCAGCTGTAGAAATAATCAGAATATAGTGCTCTATATATAGCAGTGCTCAGAGGCTAAAGATCATTAGGTGTTTCATTACCGTCACCAGTGGAAAAGTACTCGCGAACGCTTAGCCTCCTGTATTTTCACAAATATTTAAAGTTTTAACTAATTGTCTGATGTCCTTATCTCCAAAGCACGGGTTTTGGTCTGCAAACCATTTTGGCTAATCAAACAATTTCAAATTTTTTACTAAACTATTGTATTTTTCTTTGTTTGCATCATTTTCTTAATCTTATAACGATTTATGTACAACTCTCGTTATAAACATTCTAGAATCAAGATTTTTACTTTTTTATTTTTGACTAATTTTTAAAACTTTTCCGATTTGCAACTCCGCCATCAAATTCAAACTTTTGCTCTTTTTTTTTTGTGCAAACTGCTGCAAACTGCAATTGCGAATAATATTCACCTGAATTATTTATCACTGATTGAGATATATTGTATTTTAAAGTGATAAGCCGATGTGCATCAGGTAAAGAAGTTTGTCTATCTTTTAACTTTTGAAAAGGTTTTAGTTTTATAAAAGCATTTAGCATTAGTCCCATGTTATATATGAGATTGATATCACAAAATTTCTTTTTAAGACCTACGTATTGGGCTCTATCTCCTACGTTACATTTTAGATCCAATGAAGATTTGTGAAAATGCTAATACAATGCTGCAAAGTTATTCCAAACAGCGATCACATATTGCGCTCTGGGCAACACCCATTTGATACCTAGAGTTCGTCCAATGCAATTTAGTTTTTTATTTAAACCCATGACAACAGTTTTCCGTTCGCTTTAGCGTTTAGGAGATGCACTGTAAAAAACTTTCATGCAAAAAAAATTTCATGCAACAAATTGGTAAAATCTCTCGCACAACATCATCTACTGATAGCTCTAAATGGTGGTTTAAAAATTAAATTAGGAAACTGATTTATTACCGGGCGAAGCCTGCCTGTTCGACAAGCATGTTAGAAGCACCATCACAAGCAAAAGACACCAAAAGTTGTTGTCAAAACCAAACTTATGTAAAGCATTTATTAAAGAGTTTGCAATAGATGAGACTTCTGTATTTGCGTTAAATATATATATATATATACATATATATATATATATATATATATGTATATATATATATATATTTTTGCAATAATTCTAGCACATTTCCTTTTCCACATTATTTTAAGAACTATCACTGCTTCACTTTCTTTTCCTTCCGCTTGGTAGCCATCCATATTTAAAATATAGATATATACTTACCTTTTCTTTTTATCGATAACATAATTATTAAAAAAGTTCTAGTGACAAGATTTTTAGGTGTATATATCGATGAAAATCATACATGGAAAAGCCATATTACTAACTTGGGCAGTAAAATTTCAAAGAGCAACTATGTAACTAAAACTTATAATAAAGTATTGCTCACACTAAGCCTCTTTTATATGATATGAAAGCACTCAATATATATGCGTTAAATGTTTTTAATATTCTTTGTTTTATATATAAATGCAAGACCCACCTATCACCTGTTTCTTTTCGTAACTTGTATCTACAAAAAGATAGAAATAAATATATTTTAAGGAACGATAATTTAATTCAACAACCATTTTCTCAAACTAATTTTTGAAAAATTTTTATTATATTTCGCGGACCATTTTTATAGAATAGTATAGTTCCAAATACTGCTAAAGATATTTCTCAAGAAGGTAATTTTGATTCTTTTAAACAAAATCTTAAAAAACTCATTTTTTCAACTGAAAATATACTAATCTTTTAATTATTTACAGATTGTTCAAAAGGTCCTTTTGCACAACCTTTTGAACGATCTGTAAATGCACTTTATTCAGTCTGGAAATGTGATTACACTTATTATATGCAGTGATATTTAGTGAATAATATATATATATATATATATATATATATATATATATATATATATATATATATATATATATATATATGAAGAGAAAATTTCCTTTGGGATGGAAATTCCAACAAGACAACGACCCCAAGCACACTTCCAAATGTGGTTTAACGCTAACAGGATTGATATTTTGGAGTGAACCACACAGTCACCAGACCTAAATCCGATTGAAAATTTATGGAAGGAAGTTGACAGAAACATAAATCGATCAACAGCAACAAATTTAGACAAATTTTGCATCAAATTAACGGCTGCTTGGGACGCCATTACGCTTGAACAATGCCCAAAATTGATCTCGTCAATGGGTCGTCGTTGTCAAGCAGTAATTGACTCAAAAGGATGCCCCACTAAATATTAATTTTCTTCAAATAAAGTTTTCTTCACAATTTGTTCAAAGAACTTTTATGATTTTTATAGCAAAGGGACAAAATGATAATTTTTTAACAGGGTTTGCTATTTAAATTGCCCCCTTATTTTGTACCTTTAAATCATTTATATAATCAAATTTTTTTTAACAAAGTTAATTTATTTTTTTACTCAGTAATTTTATTTTCTAAAACTAAGGTTTTATTGAGCTAAAAAAGTTTAGATCTCAAAAACTCAAAAAATATATCATTACATATTAAACATCAATCTGTGCTATTTTTTTTTTTTTTTGTTGCTAGTATATATATATATATATATATATATATATATATATATATATATATATATATATATATATATATATATATATATATATATATATATATATATATATATATATATATATATATATATATATATATATATATATATATATATATATATATATATATATATAGCAAGCAATTTATTTAAAACAATATGAAGGAAAAAGAAGCCAAGCAAAACAACAATATTCAAAAAATGAATCAATTTTTTATATTAAAATACTACTAAGAAAATATTAAATAGTACTAGAGGCCTTTCAGTAGTGATCATCAGTAGTACTATTGCAAATGTAATTATCATAATTTTGATTTATGTAAAAAGTTATATAATAGAAGTATTTAATAGCAGTTTTTGTAACTATGAGTTACCATTGTTATGTTATTATAAAAGGAAGTATTAGTTGAAGGTGTCATGTTTTTGTTTATGCAGATAATTTTCATAGGTCAATAAATTATATTCATTTTTTAATTCGAGAAAAACATAAGGCTGAAAAAATGGCTCCGTAGTTGTTTTGTGTACTTTCTTGCAATCATATACATGATTGTCGAATCTATCTGTTGAATTTCCAGTTTTGCAACTGGAAGTATGTCCATTTGTGCAGTTTCTTAAATTGTTTGTTTTTCCAGTATAAGTAGATAGTCCATTACATGATAAGCATTTTAGATAATAAATGACATTTTTACTATTACATATAATGTGACTTTTAATGTTCCAAATTGTGCCATTGGATGTCTCAAATTTATCTACTTCTTGTAAATATAATCGGCAGATTTTACATCGATTGTTTTTGCATTTGAATAATCCCATTTTTTTGACAGATGACGTAGAGTGAAATTTTGAGCGCGTAATTTGTCTAAGTAAGTTTGGTGGTTGTTTGTATGCTATTACTGGTTGAATATTTGAAAAAACTTTTTTTAATCTTTCATTATCATATAAACTAAGTAAAAGGTTAGCTTCAGTTAAAATTGGTTAACAGTTTAAATTACTATAGAAGGTAGTCACCAAAGGAAAGACTTCTTTTGATTGTTTCATTGGCGCTGGCCCTTGTAACTTTGCATTATGAAATGCTTTTTCTATTACATTATCAGGGTAATGACACTCTTTTAACCATATTTTAAGTTCCGTTAGACGTACTTTTTCTGTAGCATAATCAGACGTAAAAACGATTATTCTTTTAGCTAGGTTATAAGGTATGTTCTTTTTTATGTGATACGGATGATGACTGTTAAAGTTTAAATAGTCATGAGTGTTTGTTTCTTTGTAAAAAATATCCGTTTTAATGTATTTTTTTGTTTTCAAGGATAACCAAAATGTCTAAAAAATTAACTGTGTTATATACTTTTTCGTTTGCTTTGAATTCGATGCCAAAATCTATTGTAAAATTTATTGAATCATGTAGTTCTGTAAGAGACATTTGGAACTTCGCAATATCTGTATACTTTGGTAATATGTTAAAACCATCATCGACATATCTCAAATAAAACTGTTTAATAATTTTAACTTCTTCTTTTGAAAAATATTTTAGTAAAATTTTTGGAAAAAGCATTGTTTCTTCTA